TGGTGCCATAGAGACGCTCTAGCACTGAGTCCTCCAGCTCTATGGTCCCCATAGAGACGCTCTAGCACTGAGTCCTCCAGCTCTATGGTACCATAGAGACGCTCTTAGCGCTGAGTCCTCCAGCTCTGGTACCATAGAGACGCTCTAGACTGAGTCTCCAGCTCTATGGTACCATAGAGACGCTCTAGCACGAGTCCTCCAGCTCTATGGTCCCATAGAGACGCTCTAGCACTGAGTCCTCCAGCTCTATGGTACCATAGAGACGCTCTAGCGCTGAGTCCTCCAGCTCTATGGTACCATAGAGACGCTCTAGCACTGAGTCCTCCAGCTCTATGGTACCATAGAGACGCTCTAGCACCGAGTCCTCCAGCTCTATGGTCCCATAGAGACGCTCTAGCACTGAGTCCTCCAGCTCTATGGTCCCCATAGAGACGCTCTAGCACTGAACTGAGTCCTCCAGCTCTATGGTACCATAGAGACGCTGCACTGAGTCCTCCAGCTCTATGGTACCATAGAGATGCTCTAGCACTGAGTCCTCCAGCTCTATGGTACCATAGAGACGCTCTAGCACCGAGTCCTCCAGCTCTATGGTCCCATAGAGACGCTCTAGCACTGAGTCCTCCAGCTCTATGGTACCATAGAGACGCTCTAGCACTGAGTCCTCCAGCTCTATGGTACCATAGAGACGCTCTGAGTCCTCCAGCTCTATGGTACCATAGAGACGCTCTAGCACTGAGTCCTCCAGCTCTATGGTCCCATAGAGACGCTCTAGCACTGAGTCCTCCAGCTCTATGGTACCATAGAGACGCTCTAGCACTGAGTCCTCCAGCTCTATGGTACCATAGAGACGCTCTAGCACTGAGTCCTCCAGCTCTATGGTACCATAGAGACGCTCTAGCACTGAGTCCTCCAGCTCTATGGTACCATAGAGACGCTCTAGCACTGAGTCCTCCAGCTCTATGGTCCCATAGAGACGCTCTAGCACTGAGTCCTCCAGCTCTATGGTCCCCATAGAGACGCTCTAGCGCTGAGTCCTCCAGCTCTATGGTACCATAGAGACGCTCTGAGTCCTCCAGCTCTATGGTACCATAGAGACGCTCTAGCACTGAGTCCTCCAGCTCTATGGTTCCCCCCCCCCCAAGCACACAGAGTCAATGGGTCAAAGCACTTTATTGGGTGGGCTATGGGGGCAGCTATGGGGCATCCATAGGTCGCTATGGGGCACCTATGGGTGCTCTAGGGGGTTCCTATGGGGCAGCTATGGGTGCTATCGGGGGTCGCTATGAGGCACCTCTGGGTGATGTAGGGGGTTGCTATGGGGCAGCTATGGGTGCTATTGGGGGTCGCTATGGGGCACCTATGGGTGATGTAGGGGTCAATATGGGGCACCCATAGGTGCTCTACGGGGTCGCTATGGGGCAGCTATGGGTGCTATAGGGGGTTGCTATGGGGCAGCTATGGGTGCTATAGGGGGTTTCTATGGGGCACCTATGGGTGATGTAGGGGGTCGCTATGGGGCACCTATGGGTGCTATCGGGGGTCGCTATGGGGCACCCATGGGGTTTGATTAACACAGACATAGAGGGGTGCAATGGGGGGGGTCTGTGGGGAGCTATGGGGTGTCTATGGGGCTCTGTCTATGGGGCTCTATGGGGTGCTCATAGGGTTCTATGGGGCTCAGCTGATGTAGACACAGGGGAAGTCATGGGCCCCATAGATAACCTGAGGGATCAATGGGGACTCTATGGGGTTCTATGGGGTGCCCATAGGGATCAGTGGGGCTCTATGGGGTGTCCATAGGGATCAATGGGGCTCTATAGGGTGTTTATAGGGATCAGTGGGGCTCTATGGGGTGTCCATAGCGATCAATGGGGTGCCCATAGGGATCAATGGGGCTCTATGGGGTGCCCATAGGGATCAATGGGACGCCCTTAGGGATCAATGGGGCTCTATGGGGTGTCCATAGTGATCAATGGGTGCCCATAGGGATCAATGGGGCTCTATGGGGTGTCCATAGGGATCAATGGGGCTCTATAGGGTGTTTATAGGGATCAGTGGGGCTCTATGGGGTGTCCATAAGGATCAATGGGGTGCCCACAGGCATCAATGGGGCTCTATGGGGTGCCCATAGGGATCAATGGGATGCCCTTAGGGATCAATGGGGCTCTATGGGGTGTCCATAGGGATCAATGGGTGCCCTTAGGGATCAATGAGGTTCTATGGGGTGCCCATAGTGATCAATGGGATGCCCTTAGGGATCAATGGGGCTCTATGGGGTGTCCATAGGGATCAATGGGGTGCCCTTAGGGATCAATGAGGTTCTATGGGGTGCCCATAGAGATCAATGGGGCTGTATAGGGTGCAGTGGGGGTCAGTTGATTCTATGGGTCCTTATGGGTCCAAGTATGTCTCTATGGACCCTATGGGTCCCAATGTGTCCCAATAGGTCGCTATGGGTCTCTATGGAATCTATGGCTCCCAATGGGTCCCAATGGGTCGCTATGGACCCTATGGGTCCTAATAGGTCACTATGGTTGTCAATGGGTAGCTATGGGTCCCAATGGGTCGCTATGGGTGTCAATGGGTTGCTATGGGTCCCAATGGGTCGCTATGGGTCCCAATGGGTCTCTATGGATCTTTATGGACTCTATGGCTCCCAATGGGTCTCTATGGACCCTATGGGTCGCTATGGATGTCAGTGGGTCACTATGGGACCCAATAGGTCGCTATGGGTGTCAGTGGGTCACTATAGGTCCCAATGGGTCTCTATGGATCTTTATGGACTCTATGGCTCCCAATAGGTCTCTATGACCCTATGGGTCCCAATGGGTAGCTATGGCTGTCAATGGGTCGCTATGGTCCCTATGGGTCCCAATGGGTCACTATGGGTATCAACGGGTCGCTATGGGTCCCAATGGGTCTCTATGGATCTTTATGGACTCTATGACTCCCAATGGACCCTATGGGTCCCAATGGGTCGCTATGGGTGTCAATGGGTTGCTATGGGTCCCAATGGGTCACTATGGGTGTCAATGGGTCACTATAGGTCCCAATGGGTCTCTATGGATCTTTATGGACTCTATGGCTCCCAATGGGTCTCTATGACCCTATGGGTCCCAATGGGTCACTATGGGTATCAACGGTTCGCTATGGGTCCCAATGGGTCTCTATGGATCTTTATGGACTCTATGGCTCCCAATGGATCTCTATGGGTCCCAATGGGTCTCTCTGGATCTTTATGGCCTCTGTGGCTCCCCATGGGTTTCTCTGGACCCTATGGGTGGCTGTGGGTTGCTATGGGTCTCTATGGCTCCCAATGGTCTCTATGGACCCTATGGGTCCCAATGGGTTGCTATGGGTGTCAATGGGTCACTATGGGTCCCAATGGGTATCTATAGATCTTTATGGACTCTATGGATCCCAATGGCTCCCAATGGGTCTCTATGGAACCTATAGGTCCCAATGGGTCGCTATGGCTGTCAATGGGTCGCTATGGGTCTCTATAGCTCCCCAATGGTCTCTATGGACCCTATGGGTCCCAATGGGTCACTATGGGTATCAACGGGTCGCTACGGGTCCCAATGGGTCTCTATGGATCTTTATGGACTCTATGACTCCCAATGGACCCTATGGGTCCCAATGGGTCGCTATGGGTGTCAATGGGTTGCTATGGGTCCCAATGGGTCACTATGGGTGTCAATGGGTCTCTATGGATCTTTATGGACTCTATGGCTCCCAATGGGTCTCTATGACCCTATGGGTCCCAATGGGTCACTATGGCTCCCAATGGATCTCTATGGGTCCCAATGGATCTCTATGGGTCCCAATGGATCTCTATGGGTCCCAATGGATCTCTATGGCTCCCAATGTCTCTCTATGGGTCCCAATGGATCTCTATGGCTCCCAATGGATCTCTATGGCTCCCAATGGATCTCTATGGATCCCAATGGATCTCTATGGGTCCCAATGGGTCTCTATGGATCCTTATGGCCTCTATGGCTCCCCATGGGTCTCTCTCTCTGGACCCTATGGGTGGCCGTGGGGCTCAGCTGATGTAGACGCGGTGGAAGTCGTGGGCCCCGAAGGCCGCGTTGCACTTGGGGCACTTGCGCTGCCGGGTCTCGTAGCGGCTCCGCACGCACTCGAAGCAGAAGACGTGGAAGCACTTGGTGAGGACGGCGTCCTTCTTGCGGGCGTTGCAGCAGGGCAGGTGAGGCGGGCCTGTGGGGGGCGATGGGGGGCGATGGGGGGCGATGGGACTCAATGGGAGTCAATGGGAGTCAAGGGGAGTCAATGGAAGTCAATGGAAGTCAATGGAAGTCAATGGGAGTCAATGGAGCTCAATGGGGTCAATGGGGGCCGATGGGGGTCAATGGGACTCAATGGGACTCAATGGGAGTCAATGGAAGTCAATGGGAGTCAATGGATGTCAAGGGGCGTCAATGGAAGTCAATGGAAGTCAATGGGAGTCAATGGAGCTCAATGGGGTCAATGGGGGGTGATGGGGGTCAATGGGAGTCAATGGGACTCAATGGATGTCAAGGGGAGTCAATGGAAGTCAATGGAAGTCAATGGAGCTCAATGGGGTCAATGGGGTCAATGGGGGGCGATGGGGCTCAATGGAGCTCAATGGGGTCAATGGGGTCAATGGGGGGCGATGGGGCTCAATGGGGCTCAATGGGGTCAATGGGGCTCAATGGGTGTCAATGGGGCTCAATGGGCTCAATGGGTGTCAATGGGCTCAATGGGTGTCAATGGGGCTCAATGGGGTCAATGGGGCTCAATGGGGTCAATGGGGCTCAATGGGTCTCAATGGGGCTCAATGGGGTCAATGGGCTCAATGGGTCTCAATGGGGCTCAATGGGGTCAATGGGGCTCAATGGGTGTCAATGGGGCTCAATGGGTGTCAATGGGGCTCAATGGGGTCAATGGGGCTCAATGGGGCTCAATGGAGCTCAATGGGGTCAATGGGCTCAATGGGTGTCAATGGGGCTCAATGGGGCTCAATGAGGCTCAATGGGGCTCAATGGGGCTCAATGGGGCTCAATGGGCCCCCCATACCCGATATTCCTTGATCTCTTCCTGCAGGATTTGGTCGGCGTCGGCGTAAACCTCGACCTTGCGCTGCTTCTCCAGCTTCCGGCGCAGGCGGGAGAGCTCCTCCTGTGGGGCGGGACCCATAGAGACCCATAGGGACCCCATAGAGAGCCATAGGGACCCATAGGGACCCCATAGAGACCCATAGAGACCCATAGGGAGCCATAGAGACCCCATAGAGAGCCATAGAGACCCATAGGGAGCCATAGAGACCCCATAGAGAGCCATAGAGACCCATAGGGACCCACACATACCCATTAAGACCCCATAGAGACCCCATAGGGACCCATAGAGACCCAATGGAGACCCATAGAAACCAACAGGGACCCATAGCAACCCAAAGAGACCCATAGGGGCCTATAGAGACCCGTAGAGACCCCACAGAGACTGCATAAAGACCCCATAGAGACTCACAGAAACCCTATAGAGACCCATAGGGACCCCATAGCGCCCCATAGGCACCCCATAGAGCCCCATAGACACCCACAGAGCCCCATAGGCACCCCACAGTGCCCCACAGACAGCCCATAGACACCCACAGCACCCCACAGACCCCCATAGCACCTCACAGACACCCATAGCGCCCCATAGACGCCCCATAGGCACCCCATAGGGCCCCATAGACACCCATAGACACCCAGAGAGCCCCATAGACCCTCATAGCACCTCATAGACACCCATAGACACCCCACAGGCACCCATAGAGCCCCATAGACCCCCCATAGCACCCATTGGCACCCCGTAACGCCCCATAGTGCCCCATAACCACCCCACAGTGCCCCATAGACCCCCATAGCGCCCCATAGACACCCCATAGAGCCCCAGAGACACCCATAGAGCCCCATAGACACCCACAGAGCCCCATAGAGCCCCATAGACACCCCATAGGCACCCATAGACACCCCATAGAGCCCCATAGACACCCACAGAGCCCCATAGACACCCCATAGCGCCCCATAGGCACCCCATAGAGCCCCACAGACACCCCATAGCGCCCCATAGGCACCCCATAGAGCCCCAGAGACACCCATAGCCGCCACATAGCCGCCCCATAGACACCACAGAGACACCCACAGCGACAAATAGACCCCCATAGTGCCCCATAGGCACCCCATAGACACCCCATAGTGCCCCATAAACACCCACAGAGCCCCATAGAGCCCCATAGACACTCCATAGAGCCCCATAGACACCCACAGAGCCCCATAGACACCCCATAGCGCCCCATAGACACCCCATAGAGCCCCATAGACACCCACAGAGCCCCACAGACACCCCATAGAGCCCCACAGACACCCACAGAGCCCCATAGACACCCCATAGAGCCCCATAGACACCCACAGAGCCCCATAGACACCCCATAGCTCCCCACAGACACCCCATAGAGCCCCATAGACACCCATAGTGCCCCACAGACACCCATAACCACCCCATAGAGCCCCATAGACACCCCATAGAGCCCCATAGGCACCCCATAGAGCCCCAGAGACACCCATAGCCGCCACATAGCCGCCCCATAGACACCACAGAGACACCCACAGCGACAAATAGACCCCCATAGCACCCCATAGGCACCCCATAGAGCCCCATAAACACCCCATAGCGCCCCATAGACACCCCATAGAGCCCCATAGACACCCACAGAGCCCCATAGACACCCCATAGAGCCCCATAGACACCCACAGAGCCCCATAGAGCCCCATAGACACCCCATAGAGCCCCATAGACACCCACAGAGCCCCATAGACACCCCATAGCGCCCCACAGACACCCCATAGAGCCCCACAGACACCCACAGAGCCCCATAGACACCCCATAGCGCCCCATAGACACCCCCCAGAGCTCCATAGACACCCCATAGAGCCCCACAGACACCCACAGAGCCCCATAGACACCCCATAGAGCCCCATAGACACCCACAGAGCCCCATAGAGCCCCATAGCGCCCCATAACCACCCCATAGCGCCCCCACCTGGGCCCTCTTGAGGCTCAGGGACTCTTTCTCCTTGGCAGCCCTGTTCTCGGCGGCGCAGCTCTGCAGCTCCCGCAGCCGGGCCTGGACGTGCTCCCCCTGCGCCCGCAGGTCCTCGGCCAACTGCGCCGCCTCCACCGCCTGGGGACCCATAGGGATGCATTGGGGCCATAGGGATGCATGGGGACCCATAGGGATGCATGGGGACCCATAGGGATGCATTGGGGCCATAGGGATGCATTGGGGCCATAGGGATGCATTGGGACCCATAGGGATGCATTGGGACCCATAGGGATGCATAGGGGCCATAGGGATGCATGGGGACCCATAGGGATGCATTGGGGCCATAGGGATGCATTGGGATCCATAGGGATGCATTGGGACTCATAGGGATGCATTGGGGTCCATAGGGATGCATGGGGACCCATAGGGATGCATTGGGGGCCATAGGGATGCATTGGGGTCATAGGGATGCATGGGGACCCATAGGGATGCACTGGGGGCCATAGGGATGCATTGGTGCCATAGGGATGCATGGGGACCCATAGGGATGGAGTGGGGGCCATAGGGATGCATTGGGGACCCATAGGGATGCATTGGGGTCCATAGGGATGCATTGGGGCCATAGGGATGCATTGGGGTCATAGGGATGCATTGGGACCCACAGGGATGCATTGGGGTCCATAGTGATGCATTGGGGACCCATAGGGATGCATGGGGACCCATAGGGATGGAGTGGGGGCCATAGGGATGCATTGGGGCCATAGGGATGCATTGGGACTCATAGGCATGCATTGGGACTCATAGGGATGCATTGGGGTCCATAGGGATGCATTGGGACTCATAGGGATGCATTGGGACCCATAGGGATGCATTGGGGCCATAGGGATGCATTGGGATCCATAGGGATGCATTGGGACTCATAGGGATGCATTGGGGTCCATAGGGATGCATGGGGACCCATAGGGATGCATTGGGGGCCATAGGGATGCATTGGTGCCATAGGGATGCATGGGGACCCATAGGGATGCATTGGGGGCCATAGGGATGCATTGGGGACCCATAGGGATGCATTGGGGTCCATAGGGATGCATTGGGGCCATAGGGATGCATTGGGACCCATAGGGATGCATTGGGGCCATAGGGATGCATTGGGATCCATAGGGATGCATTGGGACTCATAGGGATGCATTGGGGTCCATAGGGATGCATGGGGACCCATAGGGATGCATTGGGGGCCATAGGGATGGAGTGGGGTCCATAGGGATGCATGGGGACCCATAGGGATGCATTGGGGGCCATAGGGATGCATTGGGGACCCATAGGGATGCATTGGGGTCCATAGGGATGCATTGGGGCCATAGGGATGCATTGGGGTCATAGGGATGCATTGGGACCCACAGGGATGAATTGGGGTCCATAGTGATGCATTGGGGACCCATAGGGATGCATGGGGACCCATAGGGATGGAGTGGGGGCCATAGGGATGCATTGGGGCCATAGGGATGCATTGGGACTCATAGGCATGCATTGGGGCCATAGGGATGCATTGGGGCCATAGGGATGCATTGGGGTCCAGAGGGATGCATTGGGTCCATAGGGGGCCATAGGGATGCACTGGGGTCATAGGGGGCCATAGGAATGCATTAGGGTCCATAGGGATGCATTGGGGCCATAGGGATGCATTGGGTCCATAGGAGGCCATAGGGATGCATTGGGGTCTACAGGGATGCATTGGGTCCATAGGGGGCCATAGGGATGCATTGGGGTCCATAGGGATGCATTGGGTCCATAGAGATGCATTGGGGTCCATAGGGATGCATGGGGACCCATAGGGATGCATGGGGACCCATAGGGATGCAGTGGGGTCCATAGGGATGCATTGGGGCCATAGGGATGCATTGGGATCCATAGGGATGCATTGGGACTCATAGGGATGCATTGGGGTCCATAGGGATGCATTGGGGTCCATAGGGATGCATTGGGGGGCCATAGGGATGCATTGGGGTCCATAGGGATGCATTGGGGCCATAGGGATGCATTGGGGCCATAGGGATGCATTGATCCCCATTGATCCCCACTGACTCCCATTGACTCCCATTGACTCCCATTGACCCCCATTGACTCCCATTGACCCCCATCGCCCCACATTGCCCCACACCTTCCTCTTGTGCAGCTCCAGGCCCTGGCACCGCACCGCCAGCTCCCTCTCCATTCATCCCCATTGATCCCCATTGACTCCCATTGATCCCCATTGACTCCCATTGACCCCCATTGACTCCCATTGACTCCCATTGCCCCACATCGCCCCACACCTTCCTCTTGTGCAGCTCCAGGCCCTGGCACCGCACCGCCAGCTCCCTCTCCATTCATCCCCATTGATCCCCCATTGACTCCCATTGATCCCCATTGACTCCCATTGACTCCCATTGACTCCCATTGACCCCCATCGCCCCACATCGCCCCACACCTTCCTCTTGTGCAGCTCCAGGCCCTGGCACCGCACCGCCAGCTCCCTCTCCATTCATCCCCATTGATCCCCCATTGACTCCCATTGATCCCCATTGACTCCCATTGACTCCCATTGACTCCCATTGACCCCCATCGCCCCACATCGCCCCACACCTTCCTCTTGTGCAGCTCCAGGCCCTGGCACCGCACCGCCAGCTCCCTCTCCATTCATCCCCATTGATCCCCATTGACTCCCATTGACTCCCATTGACTCCCACTGACTCCCATTGACCCCCATTGACTCCCATTGACCCCCATTGACTCCCATTGACTCCCATTGACCCCCATCGCCCCACATCGCCCCACACCTTCCTCTTGTGCAGCTCCAGGCCCTGGCACCGCACCGCCAGCTCCCTCTCCATTCATCCCCATTGATCCCCCATTGACTCCCATTGACTCCCATTGACTCCCATTGACTCCCATTGACTCCCATTGACCCACATCGCCCCACACCTTCCTCTTGTGCAGCTCCAGGCCCTGGCACTGCACCGCCAGCTCCCTCTCCATTCATCCCCATTGATCCCCCATTGACTCCCATTGATCCCCATTGACTCCCATTGATCCCCATTGACTCCCATTGACCCCCATTGACCCCCATTGACCCCCATTGCCCCACATCGCCCCACACCTTCCTCTTGTGCAGCTCCAGGCCCTGGCACCGCACCGCCAGCTCCCTCTCCACGCTGCCCAGGCTGCTCTGCAGTGCTCGCTCCTTCTCCTCCAGCTTCTGCACCAGCAGCAGCTGTGCGTCCACCTGTGGGCACAGCGCGCTCCAGACCCACTTGTGGGGCAGCCAGGGCCACTTATGGGGCAGCCATAACTACTTGTGGGGCAACAGGACCATTTGTGGGGCAGCCAGCACCACTTATGGGGCATCCAGACCCACTTACGGGGCAAGCAGGAGCACTTATCGGGCATCCAGACCCACTTGTGGGGCAATAGGACCACTTATGGGGCACGCAGGAGCACTTATGGGGCAGCCAGACCCACTTATGCGGCGAGCAGGAGCACTTATCGGGCATCCAGAGCCACTTGTGGGGCAGCCAGGCCCACTTGTGGGGCAACAGGAGCACTTATGGGGCACGCAGGAGCACTTATGGGGCATCCAGACCCACTTACGGGGCAAGCAGGAGCACTTATCGGGCATCCAGACCCACCTGTGGGGCAGCCAGGACCACTTGTGGGGCAAAAGGACCACTTATGGGGCAAGCAGGAGCACTTATGGGGCATCCTTACTCACTTATGGGGCAAGCAGGAGCACTTATCGGGCATCCAGACCCACTTGTGGGGCAGCCAGGCCCACTTGTGGGGCAACAGGACCACTTATGGGGCACGCAGGAGCACTTATGGGGCATCCTTACTCACTTATGGGGCAAGCAGGAGCACTTATCGGGCATCCAGACCCACTTGTGGGGCAGCCAGGCCCACTTGTGGGGCAACAGGACCACTTATGGGGCACGCAGGAGCACTTATGGGGCATCCTTACTCACTTATGGGGCAAGCAGGAGCACTTATCGGGCATCCAGACCCACTTATGGGGCATCCAGACTCACTTATGGGGCAAGCAGGACCACTTATGGGGCAACCAGACTCACTTATGGGGCAAGCAGGACCACTTATCGGGCATCCAGACCCACTTATGGGGCAGCCATAACTACTTGTGGGGCAACAGGACCACTTGTGGGGCAGCCAGCACCACTTATGGGGCATCCAGACCCACTTACGGGGCGAGCAGGAGCACTTATCGGGCATCCAGAGCCACTTGTGGGGCAGCCAGGACCACTTGTGGGGCAACAGGACCACTTGTGGGGCAGCCAGCACCACTTATGGGGCATCCAGACCCACTTACGGGGCGAGCAGGAGCACTTATCGGGCATCCAGAGCCACTTGTGGGGCAGCCAGGCCCACTTGTGGGGCAACAGGACCACTTATGGGGCAACCAGACTCACTTATGGGGCAAGCAGGACCACTTATCGGGCATCCAGAGCCACTTGTGGGGCAGCCAGGCCCACTTGTGGGGCAAAAGGACCACTTATGGGGCAAGCAGGAGCACTTACGGGGCATCCTTACTCACTTATGGGGCAAGCAGGAGCACTTATCGGGCATCCAGACTCACTTATGGGGCAAGCAGGACCACTTATGGGGCAACCAGACTCACTTATGGGGCAAGCAGGACCACTTATCGGGCATCCAGACCCACTTATGGGGCAGCCATAACTACTTGTGGGGCAACAGGACCACTTGTGGGGCAGCCAGCACCACTTATGGGGCAACAGGACCACTTATGGGGCACGCAGGAGCACTTATCGGGCATCCAGACCCACTTGTGGGGCAGCCAGGCCCACTTGTGGGGCAACAGGAGCACTTATGGGGCACGCAGGAGCACTTATGGGGCAGCCAGACCCACTTATGCGGCAAGCAGGAGCACTTATCGGGCATCCAGACCCACTTGTGGGGCAGCCAGGCCCACTTATGGGGCATCCAGACTCACTTATGGGGCAAGCAGACCCACTTATGGGGCAATCAAACCCACTTACGGGGCATCCAGACTCACTTATGAGGCAAGCAGGCCCACTTGTGGGGCAAACAGACTCACTTATGGGGCAAGCAGGACCACTTATGGGGCAACCAGAACCACTTGTGAGGCAACCAGAACCTCTGATGGGGCAACCAGGAGCACTTATGGGGCAACCAGGACCACTTATGGGGCATCCAGACCCACTTACGGGGCTAGCAGAACCACTTGTGGGGCAACCGGAACATCTTATGTGGCATCCATCCCCACTTATGGCCCCTCCATCCCCACTTATCCCCCCTCCAGCCCCACTTATCCCCCCTCCAGCCCCACTTAGGGGTCCCTCCAGCCCCACTTAGGGGTGTCCCCCCCCCTGCAGCCCCACGGCGCGCTGCCCCACCTGCGCCTTGAGGGCCAGGACCTGCTCGCCCAGCTCGTCCTTCTCCTCGCGCAGGAGCTTGTGGATCTGGTTGGCCTTGATGCGCTCCGACATGAGCTTGAAGTTGGCGTCGTCCTTCTCGCGCAGCTGCTGCAGGAGCCGCAGGTTCTGCTCCTGCATGTCCTCGAAGGCCTGGCCCGTCACGTCCATCTCCGACAGCAGCGCCTCCTCCTCCTGAGACAGCCAATGGGGAGCCGTTAGCATGGAGACATCGTCATGGAGGCATCGTCAACGAATGAACATAGAGACATCGTCATCGACTCAACACGGAGCCATCGTCATGGAAACAGCATCATCGACTCAATGGAGACCCAATGACATCGACTCAACATGGAGCCATCATCATCGACTCAACATGGAGCCATCATCATTGACTCAACATGGAGCCATCGTCATGGAAACAGCATCATCGACTCAATGGAGACCAAACGTCATTGACTCAACATGGACCCATCATCATCGACTCAACATGGAGCCATCATCATTGACTCAACATGCAGCCATCATCATGGAAACAGCATGATCAACTCAACGTAGACCCATCATCATAGACTCAACATGGAGCCATCATCATTGACTCAACATGGACCCATCATCATGGACACATCATCATGTCCTCGAAGGCCTGGCCCGTCACGTCCATCTCTGACAGCAGCGCCTCCTCCTCCTGAGACAGCCAATGGGGAGCCGTTAGCATGGAGACATCGTCATGGACTCAACACGGAGCCATCGTCACGGAAACAGCATCATCGACTCAACGGAGACCCAATGACATCGACTCAACATGGAGCCATCATCATCGACTCAACATGGAGCCATCATCATCGACTCAACACGGAGCCATCGTCACGGAAACAGCATCATCGACTCAACGGAGACCCAATGACATCGACTCAACATGGAGCCATCATCATCGACTCAACGGAGACCCAATGACATCGACTCAACATGGAGCCATCATCATCGACTCAACATGGAGCCATCATCATCGACTCAACACGGAGCCATCGTCATGGAAACAGCATCATCGACTCAATGGAGACCCAATGACATCGACTCAACATGGAGACATCATCATCGACTCAACGGAGACCCAACGTCATTGACTCAACATGGACCCATCATCATCGACTCAACATGGAGCCATCATCATTGACTCAACATGGAGCCATCATCATGGAAACAGCATCATCGACTCAACGGAGACCCAATGACATCGACTCAACATGGAGCCATCATCATGGACACATCATCATCGACTCAACATGGAGCCATCATCATCGACTCAACATGGACCCATCATCATGGACCCATCATCATTGACTCAACATGGACCCATCATCATGGAGCCATCATCATTGACTCAACATGGACCCATCATCATGGACCCATCATCATGTCCTCGAAGGCCTGGCCCGTCATGTCCATCTCCGACAGCAGCGCCTCCTCCTCCTGAGACAGCCAATGGGGAGCCGTTAGCATGGAGACATCGTCATGGAGGCATCGTCAACGAATGAACATAGAGACATCGTCATCGACTCAACACGGAGCCATCGTCATGGAAACAGCATCATCGACTCAACGGAGACCCAATGACATCGACTCAACATGGAGCCATCATCATGGACCCATCATCATCGACTCAACATGGAGCCATCATCATGGACTCAACATGGAACCATCATCATGGACTCATCATCATCGACTCAACGTAGACCCATCATCATGGACCCATCATCGTTGACTCAATGTAGACCCATCATCATGGACCCATCATCATCACCTCAACGTAGACCCATCATCATGGACCCATCATCATCAACTCAACGTAGATCCATCATCACCGACCCATCGCAGACCCATCATCATCGACTCAACGTAGACCCATCATCATCGACTCAACATGGACCCATCATCATGGAGCCATCATCATCGACTCAACGTAGACCCATCATCATCGACTCAACGTAGACCCATCATCATGGACCCATCATCGTTGACTCAACGTAGACCCATCATCATGGACCCATCGTCATCGACTCAACGTAGACCCATCATCATGGACCCATCATCATCAACTCAACGTAGATCCATCATCACCGACCCATCGTAGACCCATCATCATCGACTCAACATAGACCCATCATCATCAACTCAACGTAGACCCATCATCATGGACCCATCATCATCAACTCAACGTAGATCCATCATCACCGACCCATTGTACACCCATCATCATCGACTCAACGTAGACACATCATCATCGACTCAACGTAGACCCATCATCATGGACCCATCATCATCGCCTCAACGTAGACCCATCATAATGGACCCATCATCATCGACTCAACGTAGACCCATCATCATGGACCCATCATCATCAACTCAACGTAGATCCATCATCACCGACCCATCGTAGACCCATCATCATCGACTCAACATAGACCCATCATCATCAACTCAACGTAGACCCATCATCATGGACCCATCATCATCGCCTCAACGTAGACCCATCATCATGGACCCATCATCATCGACTCAACGTAGACCCATCATCATTGACTCAACGTAGACCCATCATCATGGACCCATCATCGTTGACTCAACGTAGACCCATCATCATGGACCCATCATCATTGACTCAACGTAGACCCATCATCATCGACTCAACATGGACCCATCATCATGGAGCCATCATCATCGACTCAACGTAGACCCATCATCATCGACTCAACGTAGACCCATCATCATGAACCCATCATCATGGACTCAACGTAGACCCATCATCATGAACCCATCATCATCGACTCAACGTAGACCCATCATCATGGACCCATCATCATCAACTCAACGTAGATCCATCATCACCGACCCATTGTAGACCCATCATCATCGACTCAACGTGGACCCATCATCATCAACTCAACGTAGACCCATCATCATGGACCCATCATCATCGACTCAACATAGACCCATCATCATCAACTCAACGTAGACCCATCATCATGGACCCATCATCATCGCCTCAACGTAGACCCATCATCATGGACCCATCATCATCGACTCAACGTAGACCCATCATCATTGACTCAACGTAGACCCATCATCATGAACCCATCATCATCGACTCAACGTAGACCCATCATCATGGACCCATCATCATCAACTCAACGTAGATCCATCATCACCGACCCATCGTAGACCCATCATCATCTACTCAACATAGACCCATCATCATCAACTCAACGTAGACCCATCATCATGGACCCATCATCATCGACTCAACGTAGACCCATCATCATCAACTCAACGTAGACCCATCATCATGGACCCATCATCGTTGACTGAACGTAGACCCATCACCATGGACCCATCATCATCAACTCAACGTAGATCTATCATCACCGACCCATCGTAGACCCATCATCATCGACTCAACGTAGACCCATCATCATCGACTCAACGTAGACCCATCATCATGGACCCATCATCATCGACTCAACGTAGACCCATCACCATGGACCCTTCATCGTTGACTCAATGTAGACCCATCATCATGGACCCATCATCATCGCCTCAGCGTAGACCCATCATCATGGACCCATCATCATCGACTCAACGTAGACCCATCATCATCGACTCAACGTAGACCCATCATCATGGACCCATCATCGTTGACTCAACGCAGACCCATCATCATCAACTCAACGTAGATCCATCATCACCGACCCATCGTAGACCCATCATCATCGACTCAACATAGACCCATCATCATCAACTCAACGTAGACCCATCATCATGGACCCATCATCGTTGACTCAACGTAGACCCATCATCATGGACCCATCATCATCGCCTCAACGTAGACCCATCATCATGGACCCATCATCATCGACTCAACGTAGACCCATCATCATCGACTCAATGTAGACCCATCATCATGGACCCATCATCGTTGACTGAACGTAGACCCATCACCATGGACCCATCATCATCAACTCAACGTAGATCCATCATCACCGACCCATCGTAGACCCATCATCATCGACTCAACATAGACCCATCATCATCAACTCAACGTAGACCCATCATCATGGACCCATCATCATCGCCTCAACGTAGACCCATCATCATGGACCCATCATCATCGACTCAACGTAGACCCATCATCATTGACTCAACGTAGACCCATCATCATGGACCCATCATCATCGCCTCAACGTAGACCCCTCATCATGGACCCATCATCATCGACTCAACGTAGACCCATCATCATCGCCTCAACGTAGACCCATCACCATGAACCCATCATCATCGCCTCAACGTAGACCCATCATCCCCGACCCATCATCACCGACCCATCGTACACCCATCACGACCCCAACACCCTCCCTCTTCCGCAACCCCCCCCCTACACCCTCTTCCCATTGGCCGCCTCGGGCTCCGCCCACGCCCTTATAAGGCCGCGCTACCTGCTTGGTGGCCGCCAGGCGGCGCTGCAGCAGCTCGATGTGCTCCTCGCCCGCCCGCAGCCGCCTCAGCGCCTCCTCGTCCGCCAGCTTCTTGCTCTCGCGCCGCTCGCGCTCCTCCAGCTCCCGCGCCCGCGCCCGCAGCTCCTCCGCCTGCCGTGACGTCAGCCGTGACGTCAGCCGTGACGTCATGGCCGCGGGAAGGAAGGGGGGGAGGGGGGGTGATGGGGGTTGTGGGGGGGTTAGAGTGTGTTAGCGTGTGTTAGTGTGTTGGCGTGTGTTAGCCTGTATTGTGTTAGCGTGTGTTAGCGCGTATTAATGTGTTAGAGTGTGTTAGTGTGTGTTAATGTGTTGGCGTGTGTTAGCGTGTATTGTGTTAGCGTGTGTTAGCGTGTATTAATGTGTTAGCGTGTGTTAGCGTGTATTAATGTGTTAGAGTGAGCGCGTGTTAATGTGTTGGCGTGTGTTAGCGTGTATTAATGTGTTAGCGTGTATTAATGTGTTGGCGTGTGTTAGCGTGTATTGTGTTAGCGTGTGTTAGCGTGTATTAATGTGTTAGCGTGTGTTAGCGTGTATTAATGTGTTAGAGTGAGCGCGTGTTAATGTGTTGGCGTGTGTTAGCGTGTATTAATGTGTTAGCGTGTATTAATGTGTTGGCGTGTGTTAGCGTATATTAATGTGTTGGCGTGTGTTAGCGTGTATTGTGGTAGCGTGTGTTAGCGCGTATTAATGTGTTAGAGTGTGTTAGCGCATGTTAATGTGTTGGCGTGTGTTAGCCTGTGTTAATGTGTTGGCGTGTGTTAGCGTGTATTAATGTGTTAGAGTGTGTTAGCGTGTATTAATGTGTTGGTGTGTGTTAGCGGGTATTAATGTGTTAGCGTGTGTTAGCGTGTATTAATGTGTTGGCGTGTGTTAGCATGCATTAATGTGTTGGCGTGTGTTAGCGTGTGTTAATGTGTTAGCGTGTGTTAATGTGTTGGTGTGTGTTAGCATGTATTAATGTGTTGGCGTGTATTCATGCATTGGCATGTATTAATGTGTTTGTATGCATTAATGTGTTAGCGTGTGTTAGCATGTATTAGTGTGTTGGCATGTGTTAGCATGCATTAATGTGTTAGTGTGTGTTAGCGTGTGTTAATGTGTTAGCGTGTGTTAGCATGTATTAATGTGTTAGCATGTGTTAGCATGTATTAATGTGTTAGCATGTATTAATGTGTTGGCATGAATTAGCATGTATTAATGTGTTAGAGTGTGTTAGCGTGTATTAATGTGTTGGCGTGTGTTAGCATGTATTAATGTGTTAGCGTGTGTTAGCGTGTATTAATGTGTTGGCGTGTGCTAGCATGTATTAATGTGTTGGAGTGTGTTAACATGTATTAATGTGTTAGCATGTATTAATGTGTTAGCGTGTGCTAATATGTATTAATGTGTTGGCGTTTATTAATGTGTTGGCATGTATGAATGTGTTAGCATGTATTAATGCGTTGGCACGTATTCATGTGTTGGCATGTATTTATGCGTTAGCATGTATTAAAGCATGTTAGCATGTGTGTGTTAACAAGTGCTAGTGTGTGTTAACATGTGCTACCATGCGTTAACATGTGCTAGCGTGCGTTAACATGTGCTAGCGCGTTAACATATGCGTGTGTTAACATGTGCTAGCGTGCTAATGTGTGCTAGCGTGTTAACATGTCCTAGCATGTGTTAACATGCGCTAGCTAGTTAACATGTGCTAGCGTGTGTTAACATGTGCTAGCGTATGTTAACATGTGCTCGTGTGTGTTAACGTGTGCTAACGTGTGCTCGCGTGTGTTAACGTGTGCTAGCGCGTGTTAACATATGCTAGCGCATGGAACATGTTAGCGTGCCTAACACGCGTTACCACAGATTAAAGCGTTTTAGCGCACGTTAACACGCGTTAACATGTATTAACACGCCTTAACACGGGTGGACACGCGGTTGCGCGTGTCAACACAACGCCTGTTCACGCGGATTTAAGGCACGCCCACGGGGAGTCACACGTGTTCCCGAGTGCTTAGCGTGTGTTAACATGTGCTTAGCGTGCGCACACGCGTGTTCACGCGTGTCGGGCCCCCACCTCGGCCTTGCTCTTCCTCTCGGCCGCCATCAGCTGCACTTTGTCCCTCTGCTCCTTGGGCGCTGACTTGTACATGTCCAGGAGCAGCTTCATCTCCTTCTGGCTCTCCTGCGCCTTCCTGCGCCCCATAGAGACCCACGGAGACCCATGGAGACCCATAGGGACCCATAGAGAACCATAGGGACCCATAGAGACCCCATAGACACCCATAGACACCCACAGAGAGCCATAGAGACCCATAGAGATCCATGGAGACCCCATGGAGACCCATAGGGACCCATAGAGACCCACAGAAACCCCATAGGGACCCATACAGACCCCACAGAGAACCATGGAGACCACATAGAGACCCATAGAGACCCCACAGAGACTCCATAAACACCCCATAGAGGCACACAGAGACCCCACAGAGACCCCTTAGAGACGCATAGACACCCAATAGAGACCCATAGAGACCCATAGAAACCCATAGAGACCCATAGAGACCAATAGAGACCCCACAGAGACCCATAGAGACCCCACAGGGACACACAGAGACCCATAGAGACCTCATAGAGACCCATAGAGACCCATAGAGACTCCATAAACACCCCATAGAGACACACAGAGACCCCACAGACACCCCATAGAGACGCACAGACACCCAATAGAGACCCACAGAGACTCCATAGAACCCCCAGAGACTCATAGAGACCCCATAGAGCCCCATAGACCCCCATAGATACCCCATAGTGCGCCAGAGACACCCATAGCCCCCCCCCAAGCACCATAGATACCCCATAGCACTCCCACAGACCCTCCAAAGACCCCAATAGCCCCCCATAGCCATCCCATAGCCACCCATAGACCCCCATAGCTACCCCATAGCTACCCCATAGCCCTCCCACAGACCCCAATAGCCCCTCATAGACACCCATAGACCCCCATAGCTACCCCATATATACCCCATAGCCTGCCCACAGACCCCAATAGCCCCCCATAGCCATCCCATAGACAGCCATAGATAACCCACAGCGCCCCATAGACCCCCCCAGACACCCCCCAGACACCCCATAGACCCCCCATAGCCCTCCCAGACACCCAAATCACCCTATAGACACCCCAATCACCCTATAGACACCCCATAGACCCCCATAGCCCCCCATAGACACTCATAGATACCCCATAACGCCCCATAAACCCCCACAGACACCCCACAGACCCCACACAGACCCCCCATAGCCATCCCAGACACCCATAGCACCCCATAGACACCCCAGAGACCCCCATAGACACCCCACAGTCCCCCATAGACACCTCAGAGACACCCACAGACCCCCACAGATACCCCATAACGCCCCATAGACCCCCACAGACACCCCACAGAACCCACATAGACCCCCATAGCCCCTCCACAGACACCCCATAGACCCCCATAGCCCCCCATAGACACCCCATAGCCCCCCATAGCCCCCCACAGACACCCCATAGCCCCCATAGCACCCCATAAACCCGGCATACCCCCCCATAGCCCCCCATAGCCACCCCATAAACCCCCATAGCCCCCCCAAAGCACCCCATAGCCCCCCCATAGCACCCCATAAACCCCCAATAGCCCCCCATAGACACCCCATAGATCCCCATAGCCCCCCATAGACACCCCATACACCCCCATAGTGCCCCATAGCCCCCCATAGACACCCCATAAACCCGGCATACCCCCCCACACCCACCCCATAAACCCCCATAGCCCCCCCATAGCACCCCATAGCCCCCTCATAGCACCCCATAAACCCCCCATAGCCCCCCCATAGCCCCCCATAGACACCCCATAGATCCCCATAGCCCCCCCATAGCACCCCATAGACTCCCACAGCCCCACATAGTGCCCCATAGCCCCCCCATAGCCCCCCCTAGACACCCCAAAGCCCCCCATAGACACCCCATAGCCCCCCATAGACACCCCATAGACCCCCATAGTGCCCCATAGCCCCCCCATAGCCCCCCATAGACACCCCAAAGCCCCCCATAGACACCCCATAGCCCCCCATAGACACCCCATAGCCCCTCACAGACACCCCATAGCCCCCCATAGACACCCCATAGCCCCCCATAGACACCCCAAAGCCCCCCATAGACACCCCATAGCCCCCCATAGACACCCCATAGCCCCCCATAGACACCCCAAAGCCCCCCATAGACACCCCATAGCCCCCCATAGACACCCCATAGCCCCCCATAGACACCCCATAGCTCCCCATAGCCCCCCATAGACACCCCATAGCCCCCCATAGACACCCCATATTCCCCCATAGACACCCCATAGCCCCTCATAGACACCCCATAGCCCCCCATAGACACCCCATAGCCCCCCATAGACACCCCAAAGCCCCCCATAGACACCCCATAGCCCCCCATAGACACCCCATAGAGCCCCCATAGTGCCCCATAGCCCCCCCATAGCCCCCCATAGACACCCCATAGCCCCCCATAGACACCCTATAGCCCCCCATAGACACCCCATAGCCCCCCATAGACACCCCATAGCCCCCCATAGACACCCCATAGCCCCTCATAGACACCCCATAGCCCCCCATAGACACCCCATACCCCTCATAGACACCCCATAGCCCCCCATAGACACCCCATAGCCCCCCATAGACACCCCATAGCTCCCCATAGACACCCCACAGCCCCCCATAGACACCCCATAGCCCCCCACAGACACCCCATACCCCTCATAGACACCCCATAGCCCCCCATAGACACCCCATAGCCCCCCATAGACACCCCAAAGCCCCCCATAGACACCCCATAGCCCCCCATAGACACCCCATAGCCCCCCATAGACACCCCATACCCCTCATAGACACCCCAAAGCCCCCCATAGACACCCCATAGCCCCCCATAGACACCCCATAGCCCCCCATAGACACCCCATAGAGCCCCCATAGTGCCCCATAGCCCCCCCATAGCCCCCCATAGACACCCCATAGCCCCCCATAGACACCCTATAGCCCCCCATAGACACCCCATAGCCCCCCATAGACACCCCAAAGCCCCCCATAGACACCCCATAGCCCCCCATAGACACCCCATAGCCCCCCACAGACACCCCATACCCCTCATAGACACCCCATAGCCCCCCATAGACACCCCATAGCCCCCCATAGACACCCCATAGCCCCCCATAGACACCCCATAGCTCCCCATAGACACCCCAAAGCCCCCCATAGCCCCCCCATAGCCCCCCATAGACACCCCGTAGCCCCCCATAGACACCCCATATTCCCCCATAGACACCCCATAGCCCCTCATAGACACCCCATAGCCCCCCATAGACACCCCATAGCCCCCCATAGACACCCCATAGCCCTCATAGACACCCCATAGCTCCCCATAGACACCCCATAGCCCCCCATAGACACCCCAAAGCCCCCCATAGACACCCCATAGCCCCCCATAGACACCCCATAGCCCCCCACAGACACCCCATACCCCTCATAGACACCCCATAGCCCCCCATAGACACCCCATAGCCCCCCATAGACACCCCATAGCTCCCCATAGACACCCCATAGCCCCCCATAGACACCCCATAGCCCCCCATAGACACCCCATACCCCTCATAGACACCCCATAGCCCCCCATAGACACCCCATAGCCCCCCATAGACACCCCATAGCCCCCCATAGACACCCCATACCCCTCATAGACACCCCATACCCCTCATAGACACCCCATAGCCCCCCATAGACACCCCATAGACACCCCATACCCCTCATAGACACCCCATAGCCCCCCATAGACACCCCATAGCTCCCCATAGCCCCCCCATAGCCCCCCATAGACACCCCAAAGCCCCCCATAGCCCCCCATAGACACCCCATAGCCCCCCATAGACACCCCATATTCCCCCATAGACACCCCATAGCCCCTCATAGACACCCCATAGCCCCTCATAGACACCCCATAGCCCCCCATAGACACCCCATAGCTCCCCATAGACACCCCATAGCCCCCCATAGCACCCCATAAACCCCCCATAGAGCCCCATAGCCCCCCATAGACACCCCATAGCCCCCCATAGACACCCCAAAGCCCCCCATAGACACCCCATAGCCCCCCATAGACACCCCATAGCCCCCCACAGACACCCCATACCCCTCATAGACACCCCATAGCCCCCCATAGACACCCCATAGCCCCCCATAGACACCCCATAGCCCCCCATAGACACCCCATAGCTCCCCATAGACACCCCATAGCCCCCCATAGACACCCCATAGCCCCCCATAGACACCCCATAGCTCCCCATAGACACCCCATAGCCCCCCATAGACACCCCATAGCGCCCCATAGACACCCCATAGCCACCCCATAGCCCCCCCCATCCTCACTTGAGCTCCCCCCGCAGTTGCTTGAGCAGCTCCGAATCCTTCTTCTTGGCCTCCTCGGGGGTGGGGGCGGGGCCTCCCCCTCCCCCCGCCCCTCCCCCTCCCCCCTTGGCCCTCGGCCGCTCCCGGGAAGCTCCGGGCCGGGATTGGGAGGAGGAGGGGGGAGGGGGGAGGGGCCCGGGGAGGATGGGAACGGGGGGGGGAGGGGGCAGGGGGGGTTCCTTGGTGCGGGGTGGGGGAGGGGTGGCGGGGGCGGGGCTCGGAAGCTCCTCCTCCTCCCCCCCACCCCGCCGAGGGGGCGGGGCCGCCTCCTCCCGCTTGGGCTCCGGGGCCACGCCCCCTCCGTCCTCCTCCTTCAAAGGGGCGGGGCCCGGAGGGGGGGGAGGGGCGGGGGCAGCAGCCCCCGAGGGGGGGGGAGGGGCGGAGGTGGGGGGTGGCTCGTCCTGGGAAGAAGGGGTGGGGGGGGTGGGGGTGGGGGGAGGGGTGGGTGGGGGAGGAGGGGGAGGGGCGATGGGGGAAGGGGGAGGGGCGCCGGTGGCCTGGAGGCGGAGCTAAAGGAGAAAGGGGGGGGGTGGGGTCAATGATGGCGTTGCCCCTTTAAGAGACGGGACCACACCCCCTTTTAGCCCCGCCCACAACGAGGCCCTTTTAAGGATCGCTCTGTGGGCCCACAGGACTCGTTCGCGCCCATTGCCCTTTTAAGGCCAGGCAAACCCATTGGTGGGGAGAGGGGACTGCCTCACCCCCCTTAAAAGGGCAACAGCCAATCAGAGGAGGGCAGGCCCCGCCCATTCACCAATGCTGGCCAGCCCTCCCTTAGCTTACCCCCACCTCTTAAAGGGGCTACACCCCTTTGTGGGTGGAACCCACATGCACCCCCCCCTTAAAAGGGCTATGCATCTTTATGGGTGGGACCCACCACTACACCCATAACCTTGTAGTATACCCATTGCCCCCTTAAAGGGGCAACACACTGCTACTGGTGGGCCCCACTGGTACACCCACTGCATTACAGCATATGCATAGCCCCCTTAAAAGGGCTGCATGCTGCTATAGGTGGGCCCCACAGGTGTCCCAGTGCTTTCCCTTAAAGGGGCTATACATCCTGGTGGATGGGAGCCACCATACCTCAGCTCCTTAAAGGGGTCACACACTGCTAGTGGTGGTCCCCACCCGTGTACCCACTCTCAGTCCCTTAAACGGGCCATGCCATCCATGCTCTTAAAGGGGTAAGGCCACCTATTGCCTTAAAGGGGCAATTCCACCCATTGCCTTAAAGGGGCAATGCCGTTCATTCCCTTAAAGGGGCAATCCCACATATTGCCTTGACGGGGCAACCCCACCCATTCCCTTAAAGGGGCAACACCACTCATGCTCTTAAAGGGGCAACAGCACCCATTCCCTTAAAGGGACATCACCACCCAATCCCTTAAAGGGGCAACCCACCCCTGCCCTTAAAGGGGCAACGCCACCCGTTCCCTTAAAAGGGTGCCTCCCATTGCCTTATAAGGGCACCACCACCCATTACCTTAAAGGGGAACACCATCCATTCTGTTAAAGGGGCAATGCCACCCACTCTTAAAGGGGCAATGCCACCCATTCTATTAAAGGGGCAATGCCACCCATTCTCTTAAAGGGGCAACACCACCCATGCCCTTAAAGGGGCAACACCACCCATTCTCTTAAAGGGGCAACGCCACCCATGCCCTTAAAGGGGCAAGGCCACCCATTCTCTTAAAGAGGCAACACCACCCATGCCCTTAAAGGGGCAACGCCACCCATTCTCTTAAAGAGGCAACACCACCCATGCCCTTAAAGGGGCAACGTCACCCATGCCCTTAAAGGGGCAACGCCACCCCGAAGCTCCTCCCACCTTGTTGATCTCGGCCTGCACCTCCCGCAGCTTCCTCTTGTAGCGCTGGACGTCGCCCTTGAGCTGGTGGTTGTGGTTCTGGAGGCTGCTGATGAGGTGGCGCATCTCCCTGTTGATGGGGCCTGGGGGGGACAGGGACAGCGGGGTTATGGGGGGGCTCTATGGGTCCCTATGGGGCTCTATGGGGTCTCTATGGCTCTTTAAGGGACTCTATAAGTCTCTATGGTCACCATGGGTTGCTATATTCCCTATAGGTTGCTATGGGTCTCTATGGTTTCAATGAGTTTTATGGTTTCTATGGGTCTCTATGGGTCACTATGGCGCTCAATGGGTCCTCATGTGTCTCTATGGTCTCTCTGATGCTCTATGGTGTCTATGGTTCTCAATAGGTCTCTATGGTCACTATGGGTCTCTATGGCTGTCAATGGGTCTCTATGGGTCTCAATGGGTCTCTATGGTCTCTATGGGTCCCTATAGTTTCTATAGTCTCAGTGGGTCCCTATGCCTCTCAGGAGTCCGTATGTGTCCCTATGGCTCTCAATGGGTCTCTATGGTCTCAATGGATCCCTATGGGTCTCAATGGGTCCCTATGGTCTCAATGGGTCCCTATGGTCTCAATGGGTCCCTATGGTCTCAATGGGTCTCTACGGTCTCAATTGGCCCCTATGGATCCCTATGGGTCTCAACGGGTCTCTATGGCTCTCAATGGGGCCCTATGGCCCTCTATGGGCCCCTATGGCTCTCAATGGGGTCTACGTGCTGAGTCCCTATGGCTCTCAATGAACCCCTACGGCTCCCAATGAGTCTCCATGGGTCCCTATGGGTCTCCCTATGGGTCGGGATGTGGGTCGCTCACCAGCCTGCTCGTTGGCGGCCAGGTTCTGCTCGAACTCGATGCGCAGCATCTCGTACTCCTTGCGCACCTGGGCCAGGGTGTCCTCCAACTGGATGACCTCGGTGCGCAGGCGCTTCTGCACCCCCAGCTCGTCGCTCTGGGGCACGGGGTTGGGGTGGGGGGACACACACATCGATGTGAGATATGGGGGGGGACACCCACCCCCCCAATGGGCACCCAATGGGTATCAACGGCACCCAATGGACTCAATGGGCACCGATCGACTCAATGGGCACCCAATGGGCACCCAATGGACTCAATGGGCACCGATTGACTCAATGGGCACCCAATGGGCACCGATCGACTCAATGGGAACTCAATGGGCACCAATCGACTCAATGGGACCCCAATGGGCACCCAATGGACTCAATAGACCCAATGGGCACCAATCGACTCAATGGGCATCAATGGGCACCCAATGGGCACCAATGGCACCCAATGGGCACCAATCGACTCCATGGGCATCAATGGGCACCCAATGGGCACCAATGGCACCCAATGGGCACCAATCGACTCAATGGGCACCAATAGACTCAATGGGCACCAATAGGCACCCAATAGACTCAATGGACCCAATGGGCACCAATCGACTCAACGGGCAGCAATGGGCATCAATGGGCACCCAATGGGCACCAATCGACTCAATGGGAACTCAATGGGCACCCAATGGACTCAAATGGACCCAATGGGCACCAATCGACTCAATGGGCATCAGTGGGCACCCAATGGGAACCAATCAACTCAATGGGCACCAATAGACTCAATGGGCATCAATGGGCACCCAATGGGCACCAATGGCACCCAATGGGCATCAATCGACTCAATGGGCATCAATGGACACCCACTGGGCACCAATCGACTCAATGGGCACCAATCGACTCAATGGGCATCAATGGGCACCCAATGGGCACCAATCGACTCAATGGGCACCCAATGGGCACCAATCGACTCAATGGGCACCCAATGGGCACCAATCGACTCAATGGGCATCAATGGGCACCCAATGGGCACCAATCGACTCAATGGGCACCAATGGCACCCATTGGGCACCAATGGCACCCAATGGGCACCAATCGACTCAATGGGCACCAATGGCACCCAATGGGCACCAATCGACTCAATGGGCACCAATGGGACCCAATGGGCACCAATCGACTCAATGGGCACCAATGGGAACCCATTGGGCACCAATCGACTCAATGGGTATCAATGGGCACCCAATGGGCACCAATCGACTCAATGGGCATCAATGGGCACCCAATGGGCATCAATCGACTCAATGGGCATCAATGGGCACCCAATGGGCATCAATCGACTCAATGGGCATCAATGGGCACCCAATGGCACAAATGGCCCCCAATGGACTCAATGGCCCCCAACAGACTCAATGCCCCCCCAGTGGACTCACCGACCCCCAGCAGACTCAATGGCCCCCAATGGACTCAATGCCCCCCCAATGGACTCAACAACCCCCCAACCGACTCAATGGCCCCCAATGGTCCCCAATGGACTCAATGGTCCCCAATGGACTCAATGGACACAAAGGGCCCCCAATGGACCCAAGAGGACCCCAATGGACTCAACGGCCCCCAATGGCCCCCAACGGACTCAACGCCCCCCCAATGGACTCAATGCCCCCCAATGGACTCAACGACCCTCAACAGACCCAACGGCCCCCAACGGACTCAATGGCACCCAACAGACTCAATGCCTCCCCAACGGACTCAATGCCCCCCCAATGGACACAATGGCCCCCAATGGACTCAATGGACACAAAGGGCCCCCAATGGACCCAAGAGGACCCCAATGGACTCAACGGCCCCCAATGGCCCCCAACGGACTCAACGCCCCCCCAATGGACTCAACGACCCCCAACAGACTCAATGGCCCCCAATGGACTCAATGCCCCCCCAATGGACTCAATAACCCCCCAACCGACTCAATGGCCCCCAATGGTCCCCAATGGACTCAATGGTCCCCAATGGCCCCCAATGGACTCAATGGACACAAAGGGCCCCCAATGGACCCAAGAGGACCCCAATGGACTCAATGGTCCCCAATGGCCCCCAACGGACTCAATGGCCCCCCAACGGACTCAACGACCCTCAACAGACCCAACGGCCCCCAACGGACTCAACGGCCCCCCAATGGACTCAACGACCCCCAACAGACTCAATGGCCCCCAATGGACTCAATGCCCCCCCAATGGACTCAACAACCCCCCAACCGACTCAATGGCCCCCAATGGTCCCCAATGGACTCAATGGTCCCCAATGGACTCAATGGACACAAAGGGCCCCCAATGGACCCAAGAGGACCCCAATGGACTCAACGGCCCCCAATGGCCCCCAACGGACTCAACGGCCCCCCAATGGACTCAATGCCCCCCAACGGACTCAACGACCCTCAACAGACCCAACGGCCCCCAATGGACTCAATGGCACCCAACAGACTCAATGCCTCCCCAACGGACTCAATGCCCCCCCAATGGACACAATGGCCCCCAATGGACTCAATGGACACAAAGGGCCCCCAATGGACCCAAGAGGACCCCAATGGACTCAATGGTCCCCAATGGCCCCCAACGGACTCAACGGCCCCCCAATGGACTCAATGCCCCCCAATGGGCTCAACGACCCTCAACAGACCCAACGGCCCCCAACGGACTCAATGGCACCCAACAGACTCAATGCCTCCCCAACGGACTCAATGCCCCCCCAATGGACACAATGGCCCCCAATGGACTCAATGGACACAAAGGGCCCCCAATGGACCCAAGAGGACCCCAATGGACTCAACGGTCCCCAACGGCCCCCAACGGACTCAATGGCCCCCCAATGGATTCAATGACCCCCAACAGACTCAATGGCCCCCAACGGACTCAACGGCCCCCCAATGGACTCAACGACCCCCAACAGACTCAATGGCCCCCAATGGACTCAATGCCCCCCCAGTGGACTCAATAACCCCCCAACCGACTCAATGGCCCCCAATGGCCCCCAATGGACTCAATGGACACAAAGGGCCCCCAATGGACCCAAGAGGACCCCAATGGACTCAATGGTCCCCAATGGCCCCAAGAGGACCCCAATGGACCCAATGGTCCCCAATGGCCCCCAACGGACTCAACGGCCCCCCAATGGATTCAATGACCCTCAACAGACCCAACGGCCCCCAACGGACTCAATGGCACCCAACAGACTCAATGCCTCCCCAACGGACTCAATGCCCCCCCAATGGACACAATGGCCCCCAATGGACTCAATGGACACAAAGGGCCCCCAATGGACCCAAGAGGACCCCAATGGACTCAATGGTCCCCAATGGCCCCCAACGGACTCAACGGCCCCCCAATGGATTCAATGACCCCCAACAGACTCAACGGCCCCCAACGGACTCAACGGCCCCCCAATGGACTCAACGACCCCCAACAGACTCAATGGCCCCCAATGGACTCAATGCCCCCCCAATGGACTCAATAACCCCCCAACCGACTCAATGGCCCCCAATGGCCCCAAGAGGACCCCAATGGACTCAATGGTCCCCAACGGCCCCCAACGGACTCAACGGCCCCCCAATGGATTCAATGACCCCCAACAGACTCAATGGCCCCCAATGGACTCAACGGCCCCCAACGGCCTCAACAGCCCCCCAAGTGGGACCCACCTCCATGTGCTCGATGTGGCGGAGGTGGCTGTTCTTGGTGGTGAGGAGGAGGGCTCGGGCCTCGTCCAGCTGGGTCTTCACCTGCAGGCTCTCGTGGTAGAGCAGCGAGAACTGGGACTGGAGCACCTTGTACTCCAGCGTCTCCTTGACGGCCTCCTCGGGCAGCGAGCGCAGCGCCACCTGCGGGACACGCGTGGGACACGCGTGGGACACGCGTGGGACACGCGTGGGACACGCGTACGGGGTGCGTGGTCGTGGGTGGTCATAGGTGTTGCGTGTTCATATGTGTTGCATGTTCATACGTGTGTGTTACACGCGTGTTCAGGTGTTACGCGTCGTGTTACACGTTACACGCGTGCTCGTACGCATGAGTTACCGATGCGTTAACGTGTGTTCGTGTTGCGTATGTTACAGGTGCGTTACATGCATCCTCGTGTTGCATACGTGTATTGCATGTTACATACATGAAACGCGTTACATTTTACCTGCGCGTTCCTACGTGTTACGGGTGTGCGCATGTGAAGCGTGTTCATGTGTTATGCATTGCGTATTACATGTTACACACGTGCTTACATGCATGTTATATGATTTACCGATGTGTTGTGTGTTCATGTTACAGATGTGTTATGTGTGTCCTCACGTGTTACATACATGTGCGTTCATATGTATTACATGTTACATACATGTAACGCGTTACATTTCACCTGCACGTTCCTACGTGTTACGGGTGTGCGAAGGTGATGCGTGTTCATACGTGTTGCATGTTCATACGTGTTGCACGTTCATAGGTGTTTGTGTTACACACGTGATCATGTGTTATGCATCACGTTACACATCTGCCCCATTACCTCCTTTATCCCCATTACCTCCATTACCCCCATCACCCCCATTAACCCATCACCCCATTGACCCCCATTACCCCATTGACCCCCATTACCCCATCACCCCCATTACCCCATTGACCCCCATTACCCCCATCACCCCATTACCCCCATCACCCCATTACCCCCATCACCCCCATTACCCCATTGACCCCCATTGCCCCCATCACCCCCATTACCCCCATCACCCCATTGACCCCCATTACACCCATCACCCCATTACCCCCATCACCCCCATTACCCCATTGACCCCCATCACCCCCATCACCCCATTACCCCCATCACCCCATTACCCCCATCACCCCCATCACCCCATTACCCCCATCACCCCATTGACCCCCATTACCCCATCACCCCCATTACCCCCATTGACCCCCATTACCCCCATCACCCCATTGACCCCCATCACCCCATTGACCCCCATCACCCCCATTACCTTGAGGCGCTCGTGCCCCCTCACGGCCTGCTGCAGCTCCTGCTGCAGCTTCTCCAGCTCGGCCATGCGGCTGTTGGCCAGCTCCTGGTTCCCCTCCAGCTCCGCGTTCAGCATCTCAAACTGCCCCATAACCAGGGGGTCACCCCATAGCACTGACCCCCATTGCCCCCCCATAACCCCCCCATTACACCCATTGCCCCCCATAACACCCCATTGCCCCCCATTACCCCCCATTGCCCCCCCATTACACCCATTGCCCCCCATTGCACCCCGTTGCCCCCCTCCCACCCAGCCCCATAGATTCCCCCCCCCCATACCTTTTGCATGCTGAGGGTGATTTGTCCCCCCTGGAAGCCTCCGGAGCTGGCAGAGCCGTAGGAGCCGGAGGTCAGCTGGGGACAGTGGGGAGATGGGGGTCAATGGGGGTAATGGGGTTAATGAGGGGAATGGGGTAATGGGGGTAAGGGATTCAATGGGGAGCAATGGGGGTCAATGGGGGGGAATGGGGTCAATGGGGGTCAATGGAGGTAATGGGGGGCAATGGGGAGCAATGGGGAGCAATGGGGCAATGGGCAACACAATGGTTGCTATGGCAACGCAATGGATGCTATGGGGACGCAATGGTTGCTATGGGGACGCAATGGTTGCTATGGCAATGCAATGGATGCTATGGGGACGCAATGGTTGCTATGGTGATGCAATGGATGCTATGGGGACGCAATGGTTGCTATGGGGACGCAATGGATGCTATGGGGACGCAATGGTTGCTATGGGGACGCAATGGATGCTATGGGGACGCAATGGTTGCTATGGGGCCGCAATGGATGCTATGGGGAATGCAATGGTTGCTATGGCGACGCCATGGTTGCTATGGGGACGCAATGGATGCTATGGGGACGCAATGGTTGCTATGGAGACGCAATGGTTGCTATGGCGACACAATGGATGCTATGGGGACGCAATGGTTATTATGGGGACGCAATGGATGCTATGGTGATGCAATAGTTGCTATGGCAACACAATGGATGCTATGGGGACGCAATGGTTGCGATGGGGACGCAATGGTTGCTATGGGGATGCAATGGTTGCTATGGGGACGCAATGGATGCTATGGGGATGCAATGGGTGCTATGGCAACACAATGGCTGCTATGGTGATGAATCGGTTGCTATGGTAACACAACGGACTCGATGCTGATGCAATGGTCGCTATGGTAACGAAACGGAGGCTATAGTGACACAATGGTTGCTATGGTGACGCAATAGATGCTACAGGGATTCAATGGATGCTATGGGGACGCAATGGTTGCTATGGGAACACGTTGCTATGACAATACATTGGATGCTATGTGGTTATGCAGGCACAACGGTTGCTATGGCAACACAATGGATGCTATGGGGAACGCAACAGTTGCTATGGTAACGCAGTAGATGCTATGGGGATTTAACGGTTGCTATGGTGACACAATGGATGCTATCGGGATAGTGGTTGCTATGGTGATGCAATGGAGGCTATGGGGATGCAGTAGTTGTTACGGTGACCCAATGGTTGCTATGGTGACGCAATGGATGCTATATGGATGCAATGGTTGCTATGGCAACACAATGGATGCTATGAGGATGCTGCAGTTGCTGTGTGGACACAACGGTTGCTATGGGGACACAATGGTTCCTAAGCGGAAACAATGGTTGCTATGGCTATGCAATGGTTGCTATGGTGATGCAGTGGTTGCTATGGTGATGCAGTGGTTGCTATGGTGATGCAATGGTTGCTATGGTAACACTATGGTTGCTATGGGGATGCAATGGTGGCTATAGTGATGCAACAGATGCTATAGGGATGCAATGCTTGCTATGGGGCCGCAATGGATGCTATGGTGATGCAATGGTTGCTATGGTAACACAACGGATGCTACAGTGATGCAACGGTGGCCATAGTGACGCAATGGATGCTATAGGGATGCAATGGTTGCTATGGTGATGCAATGGTTGCTATGGTAACACTATGGATGCTACAGTGATGCAACGGTGGCTATGGCAACGCAATGGATGCTATAGGGATACAGTGCTTGCTATGGGGCCGCAATGGATGCTATGGGGATGCAATGGATGCTATGGGGATGCAATGGTTGCTATGGTAACACAACGGATGCTACGGTGATGCAACTGTGGCTATGGCAACGCAACGGATGCTATAGGGATGCAACGCTTGCTATGGGGACGCAATGCTTGCTATGGGGATGCAATGGTTGCTATGGTGATGCAATGGTTGCTATGGTAACACAATGGACGCTATAGGGATGCAATGCTTGCTATGGGGCCGCAATGGATGCTATGGGGATGCAATGGTTGCTATGGTAACACAACAGATGCTACGGTGATGCAATGGTGGCTATGGCAACGCAACGGATGCTATAGGGATGCAACGCTTGCTATGGGGCCGCAATGGATGCTATGGGGATGCAATGGTTGCTATGGTGATGCAATGGTTGCTATGGTAACACAATGGATGCTATAGGGATGCAATGCTTGCTATGGGGCCGCAATGGATGCTATGGTGATGCAATGGTTGCTATGGTAACACAACGGATGCTACGGTGATGCAACGGTGGCTATGGCAACGCAATGGATGCTATAGGGATGCAATGCTTGCTATGGGGCCGCAATGGATGCTATGGGGACGCAATGGTTGCTATGGTAACACAATGGATGCTATAGGGATGCAATGCTTGCTATGGGGCCGCAATGGATGCTATGGGGATGCAATGGTTGCTATGGTAACACTATGGATGCTACGGTGATGCAACTGTGGCTATGGCAATGCAACGGATGCTATAGGGATGCAATGCTTGCTATGGGGCCGCAATGGATGCTATGGGGATGCAATGGTTGCTATGGTGATGCAATGGTTGCTATGGTAACACAATGGATGCTATAGGGATGCAATGCTTGCTCTGGGGCCGCAATGGATGCTATGGGGATGCAATGGTTGCTATGGTAACACAACGGATGCTACAGTGATGCAACGGTGGCTATGGCAACGCAACGGATGCTATAGGGATGCAACGCTTGCTATGGGGCCGAAATGGATGCTATGGGGATGCAATGGTTGCTATGGTGATGCAATGGTTGCTATGGTAACACAATGGATGCTATAGGGATGCAATGCTTGCTATGGGGCCGCAATGGATGCTATGGGGATGCAATGGTTGCTATGGTAACACAACGGATGCTACGGTGATGCAACTGTGGCTATGGCAACGCAACGGATGCTATAGGGATGCAATGCTTGCTATGGGGCCGCAATGGATGCTATGGGGCCGCAATGGATGCTATGGGGATGCAATGGTTGCTATGGTAACACAATGGATGCTATAGGGATGCAATGCTTGCGATGGGGCCGCAATGGATGCTATGGGGATGCAATGGTTGCTATGGTAACACAACGGATGCTACAGTGATGCAACGGTGGCTATGGCAACGCAACGGATGCTATAGGGATGCAACGCTTGCTATGGGGCCAAAATGGATGCTATGGGGACGCAATGGTTGCTATGGTAACACAATGGATGCTATAGGGATGCAATGCTTGCTATGGGGCCGCAATGGATGCTATGGGGATGCAATGCTTGCTATGGGGATGCAATGGATGCTATGGGGATGCAATGGTTGCTATGGTAACACAATGGATGCTATAGGGATGCAACGCTTGCTATGGGGCCGCAATGGATGCTATGGGGCCGCAATGGATGCTATGGGGATGCAATGCTTGCTATGGGGATGCAATGGTTGCTATGGTAACACAACGGATGCTATGGTGATGCAACGGTGGCTATGGCAACGCAATGGATGCTATAGGGATGCAATGCTTGCTATGGGGCCGCAACGGATGCCATGGGGAGCCGACGCTTGCTATGGGGCCGCAATGGGGCCAGGCTTCACCTGCTCCAGGGCCTCGGCCAGGCGGCGGTCGAGGCGGCCCTCGCGCTTGCGCAGCTTGGCGCTGTCCCACTGCAGCCCCTCCAGCGTCGTCCCCATCTCCAACACCTTGGTCTCGGCCGACGTGGCCTTGTCCTGGAGCTCAGCCAGCTGGGGGCAGCAGGGGGATAGCATGGGGATACCCATAGGGATACCCATAGGGATACCCATAGGGATATTCATGGGGATACCATAGGGATACCCATAGGGATACCCATAGGGATACCCATAGGGATACCCATGGGGATATCATGGGGACAGCATGGGGATACCCATAGGGATATCATGGGGACAGCATGGGGATACCATGGGGATACCCATAGGGATACCCATAGGGATATTCATAGGGATACCCATAGGGATACCCATAGGGATATCATGGGGATACCATGGGGACAGCATGGGGATACCCATAGGGATACCATGGGGATAGCGTGGGGACAGCATAGGGATACCCATAGGGATACCCATAGGGATACCCATGGGGATACCCATAGGGATATCATGGGGACAGCATGGGGATACCCATGGGGATACCCATAGGGATATCATGGGGACAGCATGGGGATACCATGGGGATACCATGGGGATACCCATAGGGATACCCATAGGAATATTCATAGGGATACCATGGGGATACCCATAGGGACACCATGGGGATACCACAGGGACACTTAGTGCCCCCATCACCCCATTTTCCCCACTGCCCCCCATTGAGCCCCACTGCCCCCCATTGAGCCCCACTGCCCCCCATTGAGCCCCACTGCCCCCCATTGAGCCCCATTGAGCCCCATTACCTCCAGGGACTCCCGGTGATGCTTCTCCTGCAGCTGCAGGGTCAGGTCCTGCAGCCTCCGGTGCTCCCGCAGCAGCTCCCGCAGCAGCACCCGGCCTGGCTCTGGCAGTTCAGCTGGGGGGGGGGCAGCACCCATTGGTACCCAATGGGATCCCAATGGCACCCAATGGTACCCAAAGGTATCCCAATGACACCCATTGGTACCCAATGGGATCCCAATGGCACCCAATGGTACCCCAATGGCACCAAAGGTATCCCAAAGGCACCCATTGGTACCTAAGGGGATCCCAATGGCACCCAAAGGTATCCCAATGACACCCATTGGTACCCAATGGTATCCCAATGGCACCCATTGGTATCCCAATGGCAGCCATTGGTACCCAACGGTATCCCAATGGCACCCATTGGTACCCAATGGGATCCCAATGGCACCCAATGGTACCCAAAGGTATCCCAATGACACCCATTGGTACCCAATGGGATCGCAATGGCACCCAAAGGTATCCCAATGGCACCCACTGGTACCCAATGGGATCCCAATGGCACCCAATGGTATCCCAATGGCACCTACTGGTACCCAATGGTATCCCAATGGCATCCAAAGGTATCCCAATGGCACCCATTGGTATCCCAATGGCACCCATTGGTACCCAATGGTATCCCAATGACACCCATCGGTACCCAAAAGTATCCCAAAGGCACCCACTGGTATCCCAATGGCACCCAATAGTATCCCAATGGCATCCATTGGCACCCAAAGGTATCCCAATGGCACCCATTGGTAAGCAATGGCACCCAAACGTACCCCAATGGCACCCACTGGTATCCAATGGGATCCCAATGGCACCCAATGGTATCCCAATGGCACCTACTGGCACCCATTGGTATCCCAATGGCACCCAAAGGTATCCCAATGGCAGCCATTGGTACCCAATGGTATCCCAATGACACCCATTGGTACCCAAAAGTATCCCAAAGGCACCCACTGGTATCCCAATGGCACCCAATAGTATCCCAATGGCATCCATTGGCACCCAAAGGTATCCCAATGGCACCCAAACGTACCCCAATGGCACCCACTGGTACCCAATGGGATCCCAATGGCACCCAAATGTATCCCAATGACACCCACTGGCACCCAGTGGTATCCCAATGGCACCCATTAGCACCTACTGGTATCCCAATGGCACCTATGGGAACCCTATGGCACCCCATTCCCTCTCATAACCACATCCCCCCCCCAAAATAACCCCATTCCTCCCCATTCCCCCCCATAAAAACCCCATTCCCACCCATTCCACCCCCACTCCAACCCATAATAACCCCATTTCCCCCACATAACCCCATTCCCCCATAATAAACCCATTCCTTCCCATTCCAACCATAATAACCCCATTTCCACCGCAAAACCCCATTCCCCAATAAACCATTCCCCCCAATCCACCCCATAACCCCCCATTCCCCCCATAACCCCATTCCCCCCCAATTCCATCCCATAATATCCCCATTCCCCCCCAATCCCACCCCATTCCCCCCCATTCCCAACCCATAATAACCCCCCATTCCCATCCCATAATATCCCATTCCCCCCCATTCCCATCCCATAATAACCCCCCATTTCCATCCCATAATATCCCCATTCCCCCCCCATTCCCATCCCATAATAACCCCCATTCCCATCCCATAATAACCCCCCATTCCCATCCCATAACCCCCCATTCCCCCCCATTCCCATCCCATAATAACCCCCCATTCCCATCCCATAACCCCCCATTCCCCCCCATTCCCATCCCATAATAACCCCCCATTCCCATCCCATAATATCCCCATTCCCCCCCCAATCCCACCCCATTCCCATAATAACCCTCCATTCCCCATCCCATAATATCCCCATTCCCCCCCATTCCCCCCCCCATAATAACCCCCCATTCCCATCCCATAACCCCCCATTCCCCA